TTGATGACTAACCTTCTATCTATTTTGTTTCAATTGTAAATATTTAATTTCTATTTTGAAAACATGCATCCTCCCAAATATTAAGTAATTGTTAAATATTACTATTAAAAAAATTATAAATGGTATTTATATTTTTGTCAGTGTATTCATATCAATTCATATATTCATTGCGTAAATAAAATGTCACAATTTATGTGTATGGAATAAAAATAATTTATGTATATTTGTTTTTGTCATTCCATTGATGATGAGGAGGATATATGAATTGGGCTTGTCCTTTTACACAACTCGTTAATATGGCCAAAGAGAAAAGAAAGTCATGAATGGTGACAATTCATATTTTATACTTAATTTTCCTAGTCAAGACAGTCAATATATGTTCTGGAAAAAATTACACAATGATATACATTCTTGGTTTAAAGGACAAAAATGCTGAGCAACTCTTTTTCTAGGAGCACTCAGCATCCTTAAGTGAATAAAGGTATACATATGATTACCCATGGACTTGTTTTAATGAGAGCAACAATCCCCATCTATGAAATTTTCTTGATGTCCACTAACACTAACCGCTGAAAAAAAACCAACATAAGGTGTAAAAGTATCCAGAAACTTTTTCTCCAAGAGCTTCTAGTATCCTTAAGTGAATAATGGTGCATGAATCCCCATTAACTTTATAAAAGAGGTTATATAGCCAAGCCCAAACCTAGCATCTCAGGCTTTCAGCTTATTCAGGTTGGCCTGAATACCTAAATTGTTAAATATTTTTTTATTTTCTTTTTTATTCAATTCCAATTTTTATCTTAAAAAATTAAGATTTTCAAATGTTATCTAATTTTAATTTTATTTTATTTATAACAAGAAAAAAAGCATTCGGTTATTTGGGCTAAAGTCTATTCTAGTTTGAGCTTGGCTTGGATTTCTTTGGGCTTATTCAGTTAACATCAAGTTATATTAATGAATTAGGGAAGGTTAGAGCTAGTAATTTGGATCAAACCCAACGTACGGCTAGCTTGAATAAGCTCAAAAAATCTTGTGAAGTTCTTTTTTTTTTTAGAATAATCTGACTATGATAGCACACATTAGTCTCTAACAATTCTTAGAATACATTTGATTTTATAATCAAAGAATGTTGTATTTCCAAGTCAAGTAAATTCATACGTCCTTTGCACAGAGGAAGTGGGGCAATAATATGTGGCCTTGGTATCTTATCCAACAAATTGATAAGTGCAAAAATATCTTTTCCAACATTGTAAATGCGGGTAAAGAATTTCTTGTATGCTTCATTGTTACTTTCATGTAATGTTAATTAACCTAATTCCAATCACTTTCTCTGGCAACATCACAGCTAAGCCCATTTATTGGTTTGTTGAATCAAAGGCTCTCATAATAACAAATGAAATGGTATGTGTTTCATCAGTTGGATTATTTGATCAAAATAATAGGGTGAGAGTTGTAAGTTGTAAAATCACTTTATGTATAGAAACAATGGGAAAAAGTTAATTTTGTTTGCGTGATAAAATAAAAAATAGACCAGAAAAACATAAAAACATATAAAACCAATATTTAACGTGAAAAGAAAAGAAAAGAAAATTATATTTAACTACTTATTATTAGAAATACGTAAGAAAATTCAGAGCAGTTTTGACAATTCAATTTGTAACTCTGCTATTATATGAAATATATATATATATATATATATATCCCTTTCTTATGGCTATGATGGAAAGGCATGGAACATAATATGGTAAAAAGATACCTTGATCAATTCCCTCTACAAGAAATATACTACCAAAGGTCCTTAAAGTGATTAGAATTTAAAAGATTATCCAAATGCCTTTGGCTTTAAAGTTGATTTTCATGCTTCCCACTTAAAATTTGAAAGGTAGGTTGCATATTATTTTTCAACAAGCTACAATTTGCAAGAAAAATCCTCAGGTTGACAGCTGTATTTGAAGTTATATTCTTATGGAAAATGGAATAATTCCTTATTAATTGGATCACCTTAATTTGTCGACCTCGATCACCTATGAGAGGCCAATAGAATTGATGTTCGTGATGTTGGCTGATTTTTTTTTTATTTTTTTAATATTCTTCCATTGTTTGTTTCCGGCTGACTCTATTGGGACTTGTGTTTATGGTCCATCAATTTGAATGGTTATTTCTTCGGCCAAAAAAATGACAGCCAACATGTTATTTTTTAAAATTTTATATTATAACCACAAACAATCAAGCCCTTTCCCTGTTGTCGATCTTTGGTCATTCTTCAATTCTTTTACTACAACTGCTTTCTTTCATTAATAAACTAAATATGCATTTATCTTGAGTCTATACGAAAAAAAAAAATTAAGGCTTTTAAATGCTATAAGTCGTGAGTGATCATGACATTCTATAAAAAAAGACCATGAAATCCTTGCTTCATATGTCCTACAAATTTAATTAAAAAAAAAGAAAAGACCATAATGTTTTTGCTTTTTAGATAAGTTCGCATAAAGAAATACAAATTTTATTAAAAAAAGGCCATAATGGTTGTCTTACTTTTCTATGCCGATACATAATTTCTAAATCTAGTCAATTCATATGCGTAGAGAAAATGGCACAATAATAATGGAGGAATAAAAGGAATTTATATATATTTAAGTCATTCCATTCCATTCTAAACATTAAAGTCGTGTAGAAAAAAAGTACACAATAGTAGAAGTCTTCCCATTACTGAAGTCAACAAGGGGGAAAAAAAAAGCCCATAATGGTTGTCTTATTTTTCTATGCCGATACATAATTTCTAGGTCCGGTCAATTCATATGCGTAGAGAAAATGTCACAATAATAGTGGAGGAATAAAAAGAATTTATGTATATTTAAGTCATTCCATTCCATTCTAAACATTGTAGAAAAAAGTACACAATAGTAGAAGTCTTCCCATTACTGAAGTCAACAAGGGGGAAAAAAAGACCATAATGGTTGTCTTATTTTTCTATGCCGATACATAATTTGTAAGTCTGGTCAATTCATATGCGCAGAGAAAATGGCACAATAATAGTGGAGGAATAAAAAGAATTTATATATATTTAAGTCATTCCATTCCATTCTAAACATTAAATTCGTGTAGAAAAAAAGTACACAATAGTAGAAGTCTTCCCACTACTGAAGTCAACAAGGGGAAAAAAAGCCCATAATGGTTGTCTTATTTTTCTATGCCGATACATAATTTCTAAGTCTGGTCAATTCATATGCGTAGAGAAAATGGCACAATAATAGTGGAGGAATAAAAAGAATTTTATATATTTAAGTCATTCCATTCCATTCTAAACATTAAAGTCGTGTAGAAAAAAAGTACACAATAGTAGAAGTCTTCCAATTACTGAAGTCAACAAGGAGAAGAAGAAAAAAGAGCTATTAATCATGACAGTCCATCTTTTAAGACGGTGTCCACATTTTTCTTTCGCCAAGCCAATTCAATTAGGTACTCATATCTTGGAAAAAAATTACACAATAATGGAGAATCTGTTTTTGGTCATCTAAAGCAATAGATTCCATGTTATAAATTGAATAGTTGGTATATTATTTTTTGGTCGAGTTCAAATATTTCAAATATGATTTTATAAATTGAGTAAAGTAAGTGTTATTTAAAAAATAACCATAGTTGAAATAATAATAATTGTTATTTTCAATTTATAATGCATGTGTGCATTTGTTAAGCAGTGCGAACACTTTATTCTATTCTTACCATATAAGACATCATAGGATGATTAATTTCTCGTGTCAAATTTAATATGATAGTAAAGATTTTTACTTAATTCCTTGGATATTTCTATTTCTTTAACATATTGGCTTTTGCAAGCAATTTTTAACCACCAATGCTTATGAGTTATGATTGTACTCCAACAAGTTAATAAATACACTAATATAATTAATACTCCCTATGTCCCTATTGTGGGGCACCTTTAAAAAAGGATTCTTTGGTCCTTAATACAAGGATAATGGATGGTTAATTATTATTTTTCAATTTTACCATGTTAGAAATTTAATTTTATGTTTCATCGTATATTGTATATTTCTCTCTTCCTATTTTTAATAGGGGTGAATTTGAATTTTTTCATTTTAAGAGCTATTTAATGAGTTAATTATCATTCTTTAGTTTCAATGAAGTAGTTGAAAATGTCTTATAATGGAACATACATTGTCAATCTTGCACAAGGCTACAATTTGTATGAGGATTATTTAATTTCTTTTACTGTGTCTAATAAATCCAACTATTATTTTTTGAATTATATTTTGGGGTACTTAAACATTTTTTATTTAATGTTGACTAGTTAACTCAATTTTATGAATATCTTTTTAAGCCTGGCAATTTTTTTGGGCATGGACTTTTTGTAGTTATGTAAGTGTTTATATATGTGTGTGTGTGTGTTATGTAAAATAAAATAAAAACCTTTTCCTTCCATTGATATCTCCCTGTCAAATTCAATTTTTATTTCCAGTATCAAATGGTCCTTATTTCCAACAAATTGAAGAATATGCCAATTCGGTGTCATTTCCAAACTTTACTGCAGGCCCCACCATCCCAATATTATGACTCGTGGTGGTTACTGGTTAATACAAAGGTAGGTAATGTCACCTGAGTTGAGAAATTTCAATCACTGATCCACAGTTTTGAATGCATATATAATCATCAATCCTCTTTAAACGGTGTGCTTATGAATTTCTAAGAGCATATATATATATATATGTGTGTGTGTATATATATAGTACAACCTTGGGCTCCTAACCACTTCATCAATCTAAGAAGCCTTGAAGCTATCCAACATGGCAAATCTTTGTTTTCATTTCCCCTTCCTCATGTTCTCCCTACTTTGTCTCAAGGTTTGTTTCACTTTATGCCACACCAATCTTACTATAAATGATGAGTTGGCACTACTTGCTTTCAAGTTTTCTATCAAGGACCCTCACAATCACTTGGCTAATTGGTCCAACTCTTCTTCCATTTGCAATTGGGTTGGGGTTATGTGTGATGCTCAACATGAGAGAGTAATAGCCTTGAATCTTGGGGAGATGGGTCTCAAGGGAACTTTGCCCTCAAAAATTGGGAATTTGTCTTTTTTGGTTGAACTTGACCTTCATAGTAATAACCTTTATGGTGACTTGCCAAAAGAGTTGATCCAATTACAGAAGCTACAAATTCTCAACTTGAGCTACAATGAATTCAATGGAGAAATTCCAACTTGGATTGGAAGCTTATTTATGCTTCAGCACTTCCATCTTCGTAATAATAGTTTTGGAGGTGTTATTCCTAAAAGCATATCCAATTTGTCAAAGTTAGAGACCTTGAACTGGAATGATAACTTTGTTGAAGGATTCATTCCATTTGAAATTGGAAAGCTTCAATGTTTGAAGATTTTACAAATTGCAGTAAACAAGCTTTCAGGAAGAATACCTCCAACTATTTCTAACTTATCCTCACTTGAGAAGTTGTCTTTGCCTTACAACTTCTTAACAGGTATGTCTTGCATAATGTGTTATTACCATTTCCTCTATTTTACAATGATATAATAGTTTATTTTTTATATGGAAATCCTTTAGCTTAATTTTAATGTAGATTTATGTGTGCCTTATTATCAAGCTCAGTTGATCTTCTTTGGGGTAAAATTTTCACTTATACTTGTCAGAATAAATTCATCAACAAACTTCTGTTAATTATCATTTTTCATAACCATTCCAGCTTTACGAGTATTCAAATTATCAAAGTTAGCACACATTTTGTGCATTTCATGGAACTTTGATGATACGTTTGATAATTATATATTTAAATTAACTTCACCTAAGCAAATTAATACATTTGATAATTATTTTACTGTTAACTTTGATGATATATTGGTAATAATAAAATATTCTTATTTCAAAAAGATAAATTGATCAAATGTTCCTTGAAATCCTCTTTTAGCTGGCTAGACAATTTTATGTTTTTAAGTTATCTATTTTTCAGAATTCTTTTGGTAGTTACGTTGTGAATTATTACTCATATAATATAATCTACATTTTACAACATTAAAAACTCATGTCAGAAATTTGCATATGCTTGTTAAAGGACGTGCATTAAGCATTCTTTTGTTTGTTTCCAGATCCAATTTTATGAAGAAAATCATATGAAATAACAATCGAATAAAGATTCTGATTGTGAAAAAGTTAACAAAAATTTTAGATCACCATGATGAAGGAAAATCTTCAAATGATTTCTGAGTCCCTATTCTATAAGCTGTACGAAGTAGGTATGATTATAAATTTGCGTATTCTTGTAAAAAAAAAGAAGATCTGAGACAACTCAAACTGTCTGACTGTCAACATCTCATTATTTTTTATGTTATAAAATCATAGATTTTCTATATTAATAAAATGTCTATTTTTTAGCACTAATTTGAGTATTCTATAGTCTGATTTCTTTTGTACGTTGGGTTAAGAGTCATTTTTGTTCCTGAACTGTAAAGAGGTCACAAATGATTCTAAACTCAATTATGAGTTAATTTTGTCCCTCAACTTTAAAGATTCCTTCCGCCATCACCCTATCGTTTTCTCATCATTAGTTGACCACTAGTGGCCCTGCATTATATATATATATATATTTTAATTTTTTTATAAAATATTTGAATTGAGGGGAAAAAATGCATCTTAGAGTAGAAGTTGAGGGGCAAAAATGACCCTTAACCTGATAAAAATATTAAAAAATAGTGGAACCTATTGATAGCTAACGGATATTAAGTGTTTTTAACGCTAATGTAATGGAAGGAATCTTTAAAGTTAAGGGACAAAATTGACTAATAATTGAGTTTAGGGGCATTTGTGACTTTTCATGTATAGTTCAGGCAAATGACCCTTAATCCTAGTATATTTTAAGGTTTCTATGCTCTTAAAAATATAGGGCACCAGTTGTTAAAATATATGCACATATCTAACTATTCAAATAATGAAACAATATTGTCTCACTATTTCTCTCAATTTTTGTACTGTAAGGGTTTTGACAAAAACCCATCGCAAATGAGGATTTGATTGGTCACACTAAACAGAGTTCAAATTAATGGATGCGTATCAAGATACATCAATTTTCTATTTCCCTTTTTTCTCCTATTGGGTTCAAAAGTTTTGTCTTCTTTGTTGCTTATTTCTTTTATTATGACCTTTTTACTATACATAGACTCTGAAAAGAAAAAGTCCATTTTAGCGGATATTGCAGGATTGGTTTATTCCAAAAGACAATAGTCAAACTAATAAAAGCATCATAGTTCTATCAAAAAAAATTTTTATTACCATATAATATCAACTATTTTTAAAATTTTCAAAGTTGGTCACTTTATGGTCATACTTTACAGTCTGATAGCATATCTTCATTTTTTTTCAATGATCACATCCCAGTAGATATTCTCAATATAATTAGTGATTTGGCAAATTTGAACATAATATTAAGTGTTAATCAGCTTTATAGTTGCATACCAAAAGCGATTGCAAATTTGATTACACTTCAAGGGTTCAAACTTCAAGGCAATGACTGATTAGTAATTTTGTTGATAACTCTAAACATTATTGTTTGGTTGTATGATATAATTACAATAATTAAGTCTATTTATTTAAGATAGATAAATTAATCAGATTTTATTTCTGTGTTATATTTCTTTGAGTTTGTTGTATCTTTTCATGTCATGAGTTGGTATATAGATGATAAATATTTCACATCATGACATTAAAAAACTTATTCTAAACATGCATGTGAGGACGAGAGTAATTTTTATTTTTATATAACGTGAGAAAATTTATCTCAAAAGTTGTTAGTTAATTGTTTATTATTTCTTTTTCTCAGAACTTAATTGTTTTTACACAGATCTCAAGGTGATTTTATTATTTTCTAACCCTTATGGTTCCATCTAGGTTTGTGACTTATTTCTTATAATTTAACTTATCACAATTCAACCCTTATACTTTCTTTTGTCTTCTCCATTCATCCCTAATTTTCAACAAGTAATTAAGTCCTTAGTAACTCATCCCATGTGGCACCTATGGTAATTAATAGTATTGCATTGCTTAGTTGACAGTCTTATTATTAGTGCCACATTAGATAAAATAAAATGAGAATGGTTATTCTTTTTAAAAATGTAAACTAAATAAATATTGCTAGCCAAAGACAAAGCACAGAAGCAAAATTAGACACAAGAACCTATTTGTTTCCAGTAATTATTTAGGTCAATTTTTTGTAATTATCTAGGTTTTTTCCTATAATTTTTTAGGTCATTCTCTATAATGTTTTTAGTCAGTTAATCATTAAATTACAAAATATTTAATGGGGGAAAGACATTGCTTCACTTTTAAAGTATGGAGGCAACATTGAGCCACCCTTGATTTGAGGGTGCTCAATAAGCACCTAAAAAAAAAATTAAGGAGCAAATTAGCACTTTAACTCTTAAAAAATAAAAACACAACGCATTGATTGATACTAAAAGCTTGTGAATAATAACTTCTCTCTCTCTCTCTCTTCCTCTGGGTCCTTTTGTTGGGATGTCAAATTTTTTTGGGAAAATATTTGTAAGTCCTCACAATTTACTCAATTTTGAATTAAATTCCTACGGTTTAATTTATTTTAATTGAGCACTTATAGTGTGATCAATTAAATTTTGTAATCCATGAAAGTTAAAATACTTAAATTTTTCTTTTAAAAAAATAAGATCTTTTATATTTTTATTAAATGATTATATGACCTTAAAATTAATTACATATTTTATAACTCAAAGTTTATATAATTATGTTGTCTTCTAAATATTTTTTATACTTGTAGAATTTTCATAAAAAATTAATAAAAATGTAAACAGTGTTTTAGATCAAATTTTCTTTAGTTGAATTTGGCTAAAAGTATTAAATTAAATTTTCTATAAACTCTAAGAGTATTTTTGTTTTGTGATAATTAATATTTCATTATTAATTTTAACTTTCAGGGTTAACATATATAAATATGAAATTATAAAGGTTTGATTAAAAAAAATAAACTACAAGAGCCTAGTTTAAAATTGAGTGGAATTTTAAGAACCTGCAAATATATTTTCATTTTCTTTTGAATGAAGGGGTGCCATTTTAAATAATGAAAAAATATAATAGATGGCTTTGCATATAATTAATTCGTGCATGTACAACAACATTTATATAGTTAGGTTGTCTTCCTTTAAATATTTGTTATACTTAATAGAAATTTGATAAAAAATTCATGAAGATGTAAAAAGTGTATTAAATCAAATTTTATTTTTCAATTTT